TAGAGTTCAGATAATTGGGTATTCACATGGAAAGAAAGGAAGTATTTCTTGACAGAAATACTTGAACATATGCCCTGGGAGACATGTAGAAAAATGTTCGAAGGAGAAAATGATTTAGAAGGAGCAACATTATTCGTAACATAATCAATTTATAATATTCCAAATGTGAGACAACTCATGATCCAACAGGAGAATGGATAAATAAAATGTGATATATTCATGCTATGTTTACAGGAAAATTCATGAGATCCTGTCTCCAAAATAAAAAAAAGGGTGGGATGTAGATTAGTGGCCAAGCACTTGTCTGAAATGCACAACACCCTGCGTTCAAGACTCAGTATTAAAAAAAAAGTGATGACATTTTCATAATTATTTTCTTTTGTGGAACTGAGGGTTCAAATTGGGGCCTCTGTATCACTGAGTAGTCCCACTTATTTATTTATTTATTATTTATTTTTTATCAGTACCGGGGATCGAACTCATGACCGCCTGGTTGTAAGGCAGGTACTTATGCCGCTGAGCTAAATCCCCAGCCCCATTTATTTATTTTTTTGAGATAAGGTCTTGCTAAATTCTTCAGGCTAGCCTCAAATTTGTAATCCTGCCTCAGCCTCTGGAGTAGCTGGGATTACACATATGTTCCTTTCACAACTGGCTTCATAATTCATAGCAACGAAAGGGACAAACTACTGTCTCATACAGTAAACATGAAATTAATGTATTAATTTATAAAATTTATAAAATTATAAATTTTATAGTTTAATTTATAAAATTCATTTTGAAACCAGGGAAATGTATGTTATTTACTTATGCATCATAATAAAACTATAAATAAAGGCAAGTTATGATTGTGGTTATCTTTATGAGGGAGTGTTATGGCTTGTACCTAGACATTTCCCCAAAGTCTCATGTGGTCATAGGTGTGGTTTTTGGGAGGTGGCTGGATCATGGATATGTGATGGATTAGGGTGTGATCCTGGGATTAAGGGTGTGCAATAACTAAATTGGTTTAATATAGTTCTGGGTGTGGGTGGCACCATTCAAAAGGTTTGTGTCTGGATGGGGTGAAAGGGAGAGGAAGGCTTGCTGCTGCTGCTGCCTCCAGCCTGCTCTGCCATGGACCATTTCTCTTCCGCCATGCCAGCCTGCCTTGGGATCAGCTGACTATGGACTGAAACCTCTACAACTGTGAGCTGAAACCTTTCCTCCTTGAACTTGTGTGTGTCAGGTACTTTGTCTCAGCAGCGAGAAAAATGACTAAGACAGGGAGATCATGGAGAAGTAAGATCTGTGATTTGATGGTTCAAAAGAATGTGATATAGAATGCAAAGCAAATAGAAGAAAATATAAACCAGATACATGGGAGGTATGGAAAAGCTCAAACAATTCCCCAAATGACCTATTCTGTCACCTCAAAAATATTTTAGTACATATGCTAATTTATTTCATTTATACCATTACAGTAGTTTCTCTTACTTCACTGAAAATTTTATGCTTTTATCCATTTATTCTTTGTCTTTTTTGTCTATGATTTGTAGTCTGAGTCAAATTTTGGCCATTAAGATGATGATCACTAGTATATCAACCATTCTTACTCCCTAATTATTTTGTTATGAAATTTTATATTTTATATTTTCTTCATTAAATCTTGTATTACATTTAAAAAGAAAATAAACACTGATAAAGTATGCAACAGAATCAACCATGCTTTTGAACCAGAAAACATAGCTGGCTCTCCGTATGTGAGTTTCTACATCTGCAGATTCTACCAATCTCAGAAAATATTTCAAAATTTGTGTCTATACTCAATACTTATAGATTTGCTTTATTCTCTTTTTTTAGTTTAATTCTTGGGATGATGGTTGCAAGTTGCCTATAGGGGGTTGCTTTATCAGTAGTATTTAGGACCCTTGGGTGATGATTATATCTCTGCGGTATCTTCCAGGTGTAGCTGGTTTGAATCTGTTGGAAGATCTTAACCCTTCTGTGTGTTGGCGATCACAAGTTGTTGCTTGTTTGGCCTAGTCCCCGGTTCTCTGGCACTGTGCCACAGCATTTTCTGTGACCCTTAGTTAATCTTAGTTATGCAGTGAGTTTGGCTCAGGGAGAAGGTGCCGCCAGCTGCCGCCTTCTTCTTTGTTGAAGTTTTTCTTTTTACTCTTTTTGTGGGCTTCAACTTGCACTTAAGATTCTTCCTGGCTCCAGGGGACCCTCTTCCTTCCTTCTTGTCTTCCTCACAGTGCTATATCCCAGCATCTGGATGGTGATGCTCAGAGAGGCTGTTTTCTCTGCTGCTTACAGCTCCACCATCTTCCCAAAAGTCTCCTGTCTTTATTCCCTAAATGACATAGTACAACTATTTACACAGTATTATTGTATGCTATATGTAACCTAGAGATGATTTCAAGGACACAAGAGGATATTTGTAAGTTATGTGCAAATATTACAACAACTTACAAATGGACATAAATGTTTTGTGGGTCCTGGAGTCAATTCCTCAAAGATACTGAGGGATGACTGTAAGGAGAAGAGGCAGGCTGAGTAAGTGGGTATTAGATTCCAACTACTTGAAGGTTTTACAGAAAAGACCAAAAAAAATTTTTTTTTGATGCAAATTATGGAGGAAATGGAGGGGATAAAAGGACAGTTAAGGGAAATAATTAAAGGATAGTTGACAAGTAGACTAGTATGATTTTATAATGAAATTATTTTGAGACATTTTGTATGTTACCTTTCAAATAGATATGACTATCACACTTATGATCCTCATTTGTATCCACAATATAAAAGGGTAGTATATTATTTGAAATACAGTCACTCCACAAATTTTAACTGAACCATTAAGTCTTGAATAAGCAAGCACCTTTCACATCCTCTAAGATGCAGGATCAGCAATGGTAAACCAGCAAAACAAACACATAATCCTGGTTACCTACAGTATCCTACATATCAATGGTTTTCAATTATTGGTTATTTAACGTTCTTTATTTTTTTGCTACCTAGGATTGAACTCAGGTCCTTGAACTTGCCAGGTAGGTACTGTATGGCTGAGTCATATCCCCCATCCAGGCTTAGTTAACTTTAAGGTGTTACTGGAATTTTTTTCCTTTGGTACTGAGGATTGAACTCACAACCTTGTGACCTTTGCTTGCCAGGCAGGTGCTTGTGTCACTGAACTAAATTCCTGGCCCTTGGAAATTTTATTTTTGATACAACTTTTTTCATTAGGTAGACTAATAGGTATGAGAACAGAGAAAGGGAGTAGTAATACATAAATAAATGATTCAAAACAAGTTTGCAGGGCAGGAGAATTCTCCATTAACCTGCTTTTCTAGGAAGGCTTCCTGCATGAGTCAGAGTTGGTCTGAGAATCATGCAGAATTAGGTAATAAAGGAGGATTTTTATTCTCAGGCTGGAGGTATAGTAAGAGAAAAAAAGTGATGACTGTAACATTCTTTGGAATCTTTGGTTTGGTGTATGACTTACGCATGAATTTTATTTCACACATGGTAAGTACCTTAGGACATTAAAATTATTTTGGAGTGAATTTTGCTTTGATATGTTTAAGATTCCACCACTGTAAACCAAGCACTCAGGACTTTACGTGTATTTTCTCATTTAATTCTTTCAACAATGCTATGAGGTTGTCCTCATTTTACTGAAGAAAGTGAGGTAGTCAGAGGTCATTTAAGAACTAGAATTTGAAGCCAGGCATTTTGATTCTAGAATTCTTGATTGATTGATTAATTGAGACAGGCCTTACTATACTGCTCTGGCTGTCCTCAAACTTTGTTTGTAACAGGGTCTCACTCTGTAGCTCAGGCTGGCCTCGAACTTGTGGCTATCTTTTGTCTTAGACTCCCAAGTGCCAGGATTTCAGGGATGCACCACTGTACTCCATTTGGTATGCTTATAATGCGATATATAAAGACAATTACCTCCTCTAGTATTTCACTGTACTGTTTAGTCCTTTAGCTTTCCAAGGACAACCAACAGACTTTCTTTTCTGGTTAAAAACATGGCTGATCTCAGCTTTCTTTTTTTTAAAGCCTAACACATATCTGCTATTTAAAATCCAGTTGCATAGTTTTTCATATTCATTTGGTCAGCCTCCTCAGTTACAAGTCTGCTTTGAAAAAGAAATCCACTACGGTTTTAAAGTTAACGATCTAAGGTAATCAAGATGTGAGGTTTTGAAGAACATGAATGACATATCTTACAGGTATGCACTAGATTCAGTGTGCTACTGTTCATTAAATTACAACACTTTAAGGAACGTTCAGAAGCGACTAATGCATTAATTAGTAGAGGTCACAAGAGCTATCATAACTGAGTCTTTCTTACTCTCCTTAAGCTGGATAGTATGAAAACTGGAAAAACTATGTACTCGCAAATTACCAAGAATGCTGAATGCAATGGAAAGTAACTTCTGCCGGGCTCAGATTTTCCATGTTCACATTATGAGACACTGTATAAATGCAATCCGGACATCTGATTATTCCTAACAGGTCACACCTCCTCGGACTAACTGCAAGACCACAGATCTTAACCGAATCACGGTACCGTTCTACACGTACTGGGCTTGAGTTTCCTGAAAATCGCCAGCACATAGAACGTCTCGGTGCCCATCTGCCTTTCACAGCCGCCCCCAGACCCACTTTGCCCTCATCCTCTGCGCCTTCCCCGACCGAGCCCTGCTGGGGCTCCCCCGGGCCCACGCTGCACATCGGCCTCTCCACCTGGAGGCCAGTTTAGAGGGAAGCCGGGCAGAGCGGGGGACACGGAGCGAGCCGGCCGCCGCCTCCTCAGCCCGCGACCCCGTCGCGGGGCTCAGCCCTCCTCCCCGCCGCGGAGAGGAAGTGGGGCGGCTCCGACCCGCGCCTCGTCCAGTGCCCGCATGCCCCCACCCTTCTCCTCGGCTCGGGGCTGCGGCGCGCCCCGTCCCCGCCCCTCGCCCCGGGAGAGCAGCGGGCGGCGCGGGAGGGCTCACGGAGCAAGGCCGGGGTCAGCCGAAGGCCTCCGCCCCACAGCCACGTCCAGCGCAGCGAGGGCCCCCAGCCGCGCGCCCGCCGGCCAGCGAGCCTCGGAGACGGCGGGGGCCGGATGCGCGCTCGCGTCACTTCCGGGCGGTGCAGCGGCGGCCGCTTGGAAGATGGCTGCGCCCTGTGGCTCGGAGCTGCCCGCCAACTCGCCGCTAAAAATCCCGAAGATGGAGGTGCTCTCCCCGGCTTCTCCTGGAGGCCTGAGCGACGGAAACCCATCGCTGTCCGACCCTTCCACGCCTCGGGGTGCCTCCCCGCTCGGGCCGGGCAGTGCGGCGGGCTCGGGGGCAGCGGCGTCCGGGGGTCTCGGGCTGGGGCTGGGGGGCCGCAGCGCCGCCTCGTCCTCGGTCTCCTTCTCCCCTGGTGGCGGCGGTGGCGGGGCTGCGGCAGCCGCCGCCGCCGCCTGCCGGGGCATGTCGTGGACGCCGGCCGAGACGAACGCACTCATCGCAGTGTGGGGCAACGAGCGGCTGGTGGAGGCGCGGTACCAGCAGCTGGAGGGAGCCGGCACGGTGTTCGGCAGCAAGGCCCCCGGGCCGGCCATGTACGAGCGCGTGTCCCGCGCCCTGGCCGAGCTGGGCTACGAGCGGACCCCGTCCCAGTGCCGGGAGCGCATCAAGGTAACCGGCCGCCCGGCCTGGGGCAGCGAACCAAAGGCAGAGAGAAGGCGGGGAAGCGGGCCTCGGGGGCGGGGACCGGTCTGAGCGCAGGGCTCCCCTCCGGGGCCTGGTGGGCGACTCGCATCTCCTCCGCCTTTCTCTTCTCTCCCTGGGAAGAGGGCTTTTTTCCTTATGGCCGCCAGCCCGTAGGTTTCCTGAGTTTGAAGTTGGGCGTGCCTGCCGCCGCCCCTTTTTCTTGCCAATTGAGGCTGTTCTGCGCTCTGAAGTTGGTAGTTGCTCATTGTGCGCGGTGCGGCTGTCCCCGCGCTGCTGGCGCGTTTCGCCCCGCCGCCGGGGCCCTGCGCTTTGTTCCAAGCACAGGGACTCCCAGGCAGAAGCTTACCAGCTGGGGCGGGGTTGAGGAAGGGCCAGACCGGGGGCCGTGGAGCCCCCAGTAGAAATGTTCAGTAGGTAGTGGATCCTTTCAAAAAGCGCCTTGGAAGGGCTGGCCTTTGTGTCAGTCTCTTTGGTTCTAACTTGAGGTGCGAGGGGTGAGTGCGTTTTGAGATGTTTTGGAGAGAGAGAAAGGCTTGGTTGTAGCCAGGTTGCGTGTTGTCGTGGAGGTAGCAAGCACCTTGAAAGTTAGCCAGGCTGAGAGTTGTGGAATTTGAATCGTCGGTGTCTACAGAGTTACATTGGCTTGAGCTCTGCTGTTTCTGACAAGCCCCTTGAAAGCTAATTTACTCTGCTCTAGTCACTGTGCCAGATGTGATGATGAGTAAAACTCTTTGTATCTGGCTGTCCTTGTGCATCTGCATGTTTAATGCAGATGCTTGTTGTGGGCTACTGATTTTTATCTAGGCATTTATGTTTTTATTATGAGAGTTGTGTCTTTGTTAAGCTCGTGGCCTCCTCATAGCATCTGGAAAAAATTGGGGTAGGATTCTCCTAGTTTTTACTGAAAATACTTGTGTTTTGTAGTCATAGTGTCTGCATACTTTACTGGTAGGGCTGGCACTTTCAGGGAATACCAGGGGGGCTGGGTTAAAAATCAGTAGAACAGTTTTTAAGTCTGAGCAATCTCGTGAAAGGTCAGTCAAAATCCATTAAGAACAATGATAAGAGTAATCACAGTAAAGGAGAAAGATTGTGGCTGAGTTATGAGGTCTTAGCTCCAGTCGTGTTCATTTGCCCACTTCGTTAGAAATTTGCTCCAAAAGGCGATTTCAGACGGACTAATTGCTGTGGAAGGGAGATAGCACCCATTACAAAATAAAGTTAGCCTTTTGATATTATATGCTTTTGGGCTTCATATGCATCCCGTTTCTTATTTTTATTTTTTGTATCGGGAATCACACTCAGGACCTCGTACTTGCCAGGCAGGTGCTATGATCCCGGTTTTAAACAAGAATCTTATTAAAGTAATAGCTAATAGTTAAAAGCTATTTGTGATTTTCGTTCAGTGTTCTATTCAAGGTCATTAAGAATAAATTTTTCGGCCGGGGATTTAGCTCAGTGGCGTAAGCGCCTGCCTGGCAAGCACTCGGTGGTGAGTTCGATCTCCAGTACCAAAAAAAAAAAATTTTTTTTCTTAGAGCTTTTGCATTGCTCTGGATAGTACCTAGCCATGAACATTTTTTGAGTTTAGAACTTCTTTTAAGTGTGCTGTAGGCATGTGTAACTATTTTATGTTAATTTGCTTAATTTTTATCTGTAGAAATTTCACAAGTAGTCCTTGAGTGTGTATTTGAAATCTTGGCACTCAGAAGCTGAAGGAGTTCTAGGCCAGCCTGGACCACACAGACAGGCTGTCTCAAAAAACAAAGAAAAAAAGCAAGAAAAACAATTATCAAAGGGAAAAACTGTGCTATCAAAACCCATTGAACTTAATTTCTCCATAAAATCGTTTCTCAAACAACCAGGAAGTAGCTAGCTAAGATTGTTTCATACTCCAGTACTAGAAGGAAACCAAACCAAAGAAAGGTGATGGGGTTTCTGGAGGAAACAGTTCTGAAAAAGTTTAGTTTGCCTGTCTCAGACAGCTGAGTTCAAGGGTGTTGGAATAAGAGGAAGTCGATGATTGTGGGATCTCCCATCTATACAGTGGTTAAGAATGACAATAAATAAGTTTTTGAAGTGTTCTACTCTTAAATGATTTTAGTTAGGGAACCCATACTGCTTTGTTAATGTTCTTTTCTGCCAGATTTATTAAGTTCTTAAGGTTTTGATCTGTCTTAATTCATTAACATACCTACTAAATTTGTCAAATGAAATCCAGAAAGATAGTTTTACAACGCATAAAAATCCACAACACTGCCCTTGGCACTTTGGAACACAAGCTTTGGAAAACAGTTGCAAATACAGCATTAAAAATTAAACTGAGCTGGGTGTGGTGGCCATTGCTTGTAATTCCAGTACTTGGGAGGCTCAGGCAAGAGGACAGATGTGAGTTCAGGGTCAGCCCTAGGCTACATGGTGAGTTCAAGAGTTCAAGGCCAATCTGAACTATATTTCTAGACCCTGTCTCAAAAAATAAAAACTAAAGCTATGTCCCTTTAAGAGACAGTGTAAATATGATTTTAAAATAGAGGCAAGCTGGACGTGGTGACCCACTCCTATAATCTCAGCATTTGGGAGGCTGAGGCAGGTGAATCATCCTTAGTTAAATGCCATCCTGGGCTGCACAGTGAGTTTAAGCCCAGCCTTAACTGCATATTGAGATCTGTCTCAAAAAATGGGTGGGGGGATGGGGACGGAAGACAGACACAAACACGATAGGAGCAAATGTGTCACTGAAAATCATACCCTTATGCAATTATGAGGTGAACAATCAGGTAACACAGAGTATGTGTACGAAGATAAAAATAAAACCTTAAATTCTGCAGAATCTGAAACCCCTAAAAACAAATCCTTAGGTTCCAGTTTCAAAAGTACTGATTTTAGAACAAGTGATTTAGGACTCTCTCACTTTATGGTACTAATAATAATGGCAAAAAGAAATCCAATAATGCCTTTGCTGAAGTTTCACAAAATAGAAACAAAGTAGTTCAGTAAGATGCAGAAAATGACCTTCAACAGTTTAGTGTAGCTCACTAACTTGTGAGTTTGGGACTAGAGATGTAGATCAGTGTAACAGGCACCAAGGCCCTGAGTTCAATTCCTAGCTCTCAAAACAAAACAAAAGAACAGAGCTGAGCTTGTTGGCCCACACGTGTAATTGCAGCACTCTGGGAGGCTGAGGCAGAAGGATGGCAGGTTCACATCCATCCTGCTCAGTTTATCAGTTTAGCAAGACCTTGTCTCAAATTAAAAAAATAAAATGGCATGGTAGCACATGCCTCTAGTACCAGCACTTGGGAGACTGAGGACAAGATGATCCCTGCTTGAGTTTGAGGCCAGCCTGAACTACATAGTGAGACCCTTTCTCCAAAAAATAAAACTTAAATTTAAAAAGTGAGGATGGGGGGAGGTTTGGGAGAGGTAGCACAAGCCCTGGTTCAATCCCTGGTCTCAGGGAGTGGCTGGGAGATCAGTGTGAGTCTCACAGGGAGGAAAATAACATCGGACTCATTTACGTTTTTGGTCTAATGTGTTTGAAATTCCTGTGAAAAAATTTAACTATGAAAAATCAGTAGGTAATTTGTTCTAAGTTTGAAAGTTAGAGATAAGTAGTGACCAGTTGAGCTGTGCAGGTGATTTGACCCTGTTGATACAGCAGCCTTCATTGCACAATAAGGTGTCTTCTGCCAGCTGTTTTCACAGCCACCCTTCTGAACAACCAGCCTTAAAGCACATCTTTTACCTTCTCTGGATGGTACCCTTCATTACATAATGAAGTATGAAATTGTAGTTATAAAAACTGAATTAGGGCCAGGTGCTGTGGTGCATGCCTATAATCTCAGCACTTCGAGGACTGAGGCAGGAGAATTGCCGCAAGTTCAAGACCAGGCTGGGCTTGCAAAGTGAGTTCAAGCCAGTTTGAACTTCGTAGCAAAATCCTGCATCAAAAAGACAAGAAAAAAAAGAAAAGAAAGAAAGAAAAACTTAAAACTTAATAACTTGGATTTTGATACTAAAGCTACTTCTAATACTGTTCCCATGACTAAGTATTCAAAATTTTGAAAGTCAGATACAAACCTTCATTTAGTGCTTCAGAATTTGATTTTGGTGTCTGTCATGTTATTGATGTTTTATCTTTTAGATAAAATGGATGTGTTTGACACTGCCTTGTTACAGATTGTTGTTTAGTCTGAAGTTTTGTTGGATTTCTGTTTGCCAGAAGACAGTTTGTTAACAATTCCAGCCAAGTTTTGGAGTCAGATAAACAAATCTGGAAGGTTATTGTCCAGTCTTTGCCTGGTTTTTCTCCTAGAGACCTTCTGCTGGGTGATAGAAAGCATGAAAGAACTGCTGATGTGCAGTTCCTACAGGAATTTGCAGTCCAGCTGAAGCTTGTAAACACACATCAAACAGGAAAAAAGGTATAAAAGTACGAGGGATGTATGCAGGGCCTTACTTGATTAAATGTCACATAGCTAAAGACTGTGATGACTTAAAAGTCGGGCGTGAGCTCATCATTGTCCGTACTACAGTAGTTGAAAGATCTATCTGGACTGGGAAGTCATAGAGCATTCACGTCTGAGCCAACTCTACATTCACACTTTAATCGTTTAACCTGATAGACTGCAAAACTCATTCTTTTATCGCATATTTTGAGTATTCTGCGAAGCTTCACCTCTTAAAAGTTAGTTTTAAGTTTTTGAAAGTGACATGTATTAGTGCTGCTTCAAGGTGAAATGCACGGTGATTGTGTATGACCTAAAAAATTTGCCTTTACCAGACAAGGTGCATGCCCCTTAATCCAAACAGCCGGGGAGCCTGAAGCAGTAGGATCATGCTTTTGAGTGCAGCCTGGACAGTTTAGTGACTTAGCAAGACCTTGCCTCAAAAAAGAAAAGAAAGAGAGGAAAAAAGTAAGGATATAGCTCAGTACAAAAGCCCTAAGTTAAATCCCCACTAAC